CTTTTCATATCTTGTGGAAAACCCTTACGTGAACATCATAGTGTTATATATCTGTCTAATACAATTATTCATTTATAAGTTAGTGTTCTCTAATGCTTATCAGAGGGGAAAATGAAATTGTCGATACGTGTTCTAATTTAAATTTTACTCTCTTACGTTATCTTCTCAATAATGTCCTTAGGCAAGGCAGGAATGTGTAGGCGACCGGAGGGGGAGATGAAAAGAAAACAGGCGCATTTCCTGCTAGAAAGTCCAGCTACAAGAAAATGGCTGGACATGAATTAAGTCCAACTAAAGATAAAGAACACAAACAAATATATATATATATATATATATATATATATATATATATATATATATATATGAACAAACATATTTATTAAACAAAACAATTTTACAATGGACATAGACAATAATATTTGTGTGTGTGAACGTTTGTCTCTGTTCTTTGATGAATGTTCGTACGTACTCGTACGTGTGTATAATGTTCATTGCGTCTCCCACAAATGGGAAGACGCGAATCTTCTAAGAGAGCTTACATTGCAGTCGCTGAAATGAAGCAATGAAAAAGTTGATTTACCTCACTTCCACGCGAGGTGGGATGCGGCACGAGGTCTGAAGGAAAGAGAACGAGGCAAGAAGTCGCCCAGTATTTATAGTATAGGGAGAATGACCGCTAGTGACAATTTTCTAATTAAGGAGTTAGATTAAATTGCCGGATAGACTGAGCTCCCTACAATGGAATGGTAATCAATTTAATAATGAAACTGAATTCCATATAGTATAGAAGGCAAAGTGAAACCACTACACTGTGATCCCAAATAATGACAATTGTAAAACCGATCATAAAAACAAGATATCGATGAAAAGCATGACTGTCTGCTTCTTTAAATCCTGTGGCATTGAAACTACTGTCTGTCTCATTTTAAAGGGTACGTAATTTTCTTCAGCTGGAATACTAATTATATTTTTCATGTTTTACTAGTAGATATAAACAGATACATGTTACAAAAATATGGGAAAAATATAGAAAGAATTGGACGAATCATCAGAGTAACAATTATGTTCTACACATCAAATATACCAATAAAAGTAGAAACATGTTTCCTTTTGTTGTTAGTACATATTTTACTATCGACAACATTGAATATATTGATCACATATTGAAACGGTAATAAAGTTGAAATCCTTTATTAAAACACTTATAACAAATATTTCGATGTAAACTTTATCCTCTAGTATATTTAGTATACGATAAACCGTAAAACTGGCCGGGAGTAAATAAAGAAAATTCAAAGATTAATCATAATGATGCATACAAATGAAGATTTTTGTTAACTACAAATATAATCGTTTTCATGAGAAAATCTATTTTATAGTAAAAACGAAACATGTTCGTGTCACATGTATAAGGGAAGCATCGTATAAGATTTATCATTATTTACGAGTTGATTTCCATTCATTTCTGCTTAATTTGGACAGAAAAAAGGAATAATATTTTATTGCTTACTTTTTTTATTTACAATTCGTGTGTTAATTAAAAAGGCAGCGTATGTTTCACTTCGATTAATATTGAAAATTTTCCAGTGATTGGGATGTGACGCATTCACCCATAGATCATTTTCTTGTGGACATAAAGTTTTTCAATATTCATACAATTTTAAAAATCGATGTCGGCCGTTATAATTTATTGTGATTAGTGCGCGGGTTTATTTATTGGAAAAATGCAATGTCAGCTCTTGAATCCATTCAAATTGAAATTCCTATATTGAATGATATTTTTCAAAACAACTGAGTTTTTAACGATTGACGATTATGGCTCGTAGAATTTTTATTTTTATTTATAGGTAATATAATATATTATGTTAATAGATATCTTATTATCATAGACGAAAAGATTTTGTGAAATGGGTTAGAATTGCGACATGAACAGCAGGGTAAGTGATTAACCTTCCAGATGCAGTAAATTTGATGCGCAATGTACCAATACGGGCACAATTCGGAATGCAGTTATGTGATCATATATATATATATATATATATATATATATATATATATATATATATATATATATATATATATATATATATATATATATATATGAAAATAGTTTTTATGTATGCTGTATTTATAGGTTTATGTGTTCAATAGCGTATGTAAAAGCACCACATACATGGCTTGAAAATTACATTTAAGCACATGCATGGTATAAAGATAAGCTACATGTGGTAGCAAGGCTTCTGATCGGGAGTTTGAAGGATTCGATGAGCAGGGAACCGCATCTTAATTGCTGTCATTCTCAGGTCCACCCTGATCCGGATTAGTGGCTCCTTTTGGGTTTCAGTTATGGGCAAATAGTTAACTCAATACTAGGGACAAATCATTATGAGTGTATGAAAATACATTTTATATTAAGCATATCAGCAATAGTAAAAAAAATACCAGAAATACATTTTTTAAAGAAAAGTACTAATGTTCCCAAGAAAACTAAATTTCGAAATTAAATGACCCATAACTAATTTATATGCCGCTAAATAGCGCACACACACACACACACACACACACACACACACACACACACACACACACACACACACACACATATATAGTCGATCCTCCAGATCTACAAATCCACAATTCGCCCTTGTATGGAGTATTGCTGCCATATATGGTCTGGTGTCCCTTCGGTTTGCCTCGGGGTTCTTGATAGGCTATAGAGGCGGATATGCAATGTGGTTGGCCCTGCCCTGGCGTCTCGTCTACAGTCACTTTCTCACAGACGCGCCGTCGCCTCCCTCTGTCTCTTCTACAAATACTTTCATGGAAATTGCTCCGAGGAGCTGCATTCGCTGGTTCCCAGACGTCATGAGTTCAAGCGACCTACGAGGCTGGCATCCAGCTCTCACCCCTTCACTGTCGAAACTCTTAAATGTAGCCGTATCTTCTACTCTAATAGCTTCATGTCTCGCACCTCTCGCTTGTGGAACTCCCTTCCCTTTTCCTGTTTCCCTGTCAGCTATAATCTCCAGTTATTCAAGTGTAATGTCAATCGACATCTCCAGTTGACTTGATCTATCCACTACCCTCATCCTTTCTTCTATCACTCCTATCTGATCTTGCTCTAAATTTTCTGTAACCCTTGCGACCTAGTGGCATCCAGCCTTGCTTGGGGTGAATGCTTAATATATATATATATATATATATATATATATATATATATATATATATATATATATATATATATATATATTTACAGGGTGAAATGAGATTGTCTTCTAATTTATACGAAAATGAAAATAACATTCACAACTATTTTTAACAGATATATTTACCAAAATTGAACAAAAATATCTAAAGAGTAAATTTTTTCTTCAAAAATCTCCATTTGTTTCAACCAAAGCCTCCAGACAACTGCAAATCTTCTGGAAATGTCTCATTGTTTAAGTAGGTGAATACTTTTATAATCCTTTACTTCAGTTCATTTTTGGTGATATAAGGAGTTTTGTTGGTATTTCTTGCTCAACTGCTACCCACACTTAAAGATAAAGGAGTTTCAGCCTGGGGAGTTAGGTGGCCAGATGCCAGGATGGATAGGGTTGAAGGAATTGTCTGACAATCATGACTGGGTTCCCCTGCTTGTGTGGCATGTTTCTGACTCATTTTTCCAGACATTCTTCCAGTAGCCACACTCTTGACCCAGAGCAACACTATCTCCCCAAGGCACATTTTTAGGCTTCCTTTTTATGTCTGAGGTCCGGTGAGAAGATGAATGGAGGCATAACTTCATCATCAGTGGTGATCACGTCAGACACAATTATTTTGACTTTCAATTCTTTCAGATTTCTCTGCACTTAAATATTCGTATTTGAGCTTCCGGTGGGAATGCCGTTTCCAAATTTCCCTACGGATTAAATTTTCGATATCGTTTTGTTTTTCTTATAGATGGTGCCAAACTTACCCTACTATACTGCGTACACGAACAAATCAAAGACAAATAAAGCGCATGCGCGAAATTAAAAATAGGAAATGGCGACAATGTGCTCATCGCAATCTGTATATTCAAAAGAGAATATAGTGTATGGACAAAGAAGCAGATTATGCAGACAAGCTAAAAATTTCTATTGTAAAATATAAAATATCTGATAAATAATTATTCTATGTGCATGATTGTATGTGTGCGTGTATATGCGTGAACGCATTAAGATTATATTGGAAGGAGAAATAGATTTAAATTTCAGAAACCAACATTTACATAATCCCTGCCATTTCCATAACTTGATAGTTCCAGGAATGTAGAAAAAGAGATATAAGTAGGAAGTTTAGTTTATATATATATATATATATATATATATATATATATATATATATATATATATATATATATATATATTTGCTGTTGACGACAACATCAAACATAATTCTAGGGCATAATTATGGCCCTTGCAAATGTTCAATCGATTCAATCGTTTACCTTTCATCGAACACAAATTTGAAGTGTTCCATTATGGAACTTTTATCATATAAAGCTCTCCTCGAAAATTAAGCTTTATATTGCTTTCATTTCAACGGATGATGCTACTGTATCAAAAATGATTCCGATTTAAACGTAAATTTTCAGAACTAAAATATCATATGAATTTTAAGAAAATGATTATTCATCACCTTTTTTTGTTTTTTACTTCAATTCTGATTCACTTGTTTCTATGATTTGGCTACGACTGAATTTCTTGATTAATTCGTTTTCATTTTCAATCGCTTTGTGGTGATATATTGATTAAAACTTTTCCAATGATCTTTTTCATGATGATTATAAAAAATTACCTTTTAATACTGGAATCAAATATGGAGTTCAAATTACATCAATATATATCACTTATTTAGGGTTCGATGCTGTATTTTATTATTTTTTTTATATAAATTAAGTCTTTGGACTGTTTTAATATCCCTATGTATTGAACAAACAAACAATAATCCAAAATAACTGGAAGTAAAAAAATATCCTAAGTTTCGTAGATGACAGCAACATAGAGAGCCTGGCAATATTTCGATATATCCTTGTCTGTGTGAGTGTCTCTGTGATCCTGTGTGTGCGTGTGAATAGATAAATCGATAAACAGAGCGAGAGATAGAGAGATAATGAACATAGATAGATAGATAGATAGATAGATAGATAGATAGATAGATAGATAGATAGATAGATGTGAACAGACGTGGATATATTAGATGGATTGATGTGTACAAACGTACAAAGATTGATAGATGTAAACAAACGTAGAAAAATAGATAAATTGATATATAGATAGATAGACAGTTAAATAGATAGATAGATAGATAGATAGATAGATAGATAGATAGATAGATCTAAATGTGAGCTTTCTTGAAATGTTTCCTATTTTTCATGGTATTGATCATTATAATTATCTATTTAGAATTTCCATTGTCATTTTGAAGATAACCATGAAGAAATAATCGGTTGACTTCAAAGGAGATGATGTATTTTCTTAAAATAAACTGAGTGAAGACAAGTTCACCGAGAACGTTGAGGGACTGTCAGAGGAAAACGTAGGTGGCGTCTCAGTTTATTGATTTCAGCAGTCAACGATGGTAGTATCTTCAGTCAATAATCTGCATATATTTATTTGGCATAATGTTAAATATTTCCCCATTCTTCCAGTACGCAGTATTCATTGTTAGTTTTCTAAAAGAAACGTAAATAAGACTCTGAGTAATAACTGCAATTATTTTTGGACTACTTATATCTGATGTAAAATGTGATTTTTCACAAGTATGTACACACACACGCACACACACACACACACACACATATATATATATATATATATATATTGCGTCAGATTGCTAAGGCTACCAGTTTTTTCTGCAAACTTGACTATCGCTTGTGGAATAACCGGAGTATTCGACTGGATAAAGAAATTCGGGTTTACAGTGCTGTTGTCCTTACCATCCTTTTATACGGCTCAATATCGTGGACTCCATACAGGTACCATATACGCCAGCTGGATGTTTTCCATAAAAGCTTTCTGCGTGCCATCCTTGGAGTTAACATTCAAGATAGGAGATCTAATGTAGACCTTCTTAACAGGTGTAACATTGGAGGAATCAAAACTTCTCTCATGCAGTCTCAGTCTTGAGACTGTCTGATATCCTAATGTACAGCCAGTGAGATCAGGTCTACAGGAATCTAGGACGATCATGTCTAAGATACAAGGATTAGCTGAAGAGTTCCCACAATATTCAATTTTGCTCAATATGGGGCCTCCTTTGTAAATCACTAGCGGGTCTTAAGTGCCATTTAAGATTATCGCAGAGAATTTCATAACTGAATCAACTGGTTATTTTGTCAGATCCTCATACGTCGAAACCGACGGGAGAGTCAATATATATATATATATATATATATATATATATATATATATATATATATATATATATTAGTTGTAAATATATTGTAATATATGTATGCGCTTGGCTTGTAGAAATAAAGTAGAAAATGTGATGTTATCTGATATTTTTATTTAAAATCTGTGATCCTGACAAATACAGGAAACATGCACTAACACACACACACACACACACACACACACACACACACACATATATATATATATATATATATATATATATATATATATATATATATATATATATATATATATATGGAGAGAGAAATAAAACACGCACCGACACACACACTCACACACAGTTATCTATAGCCTTATAGATATTCATGGGTAAATGTCACCATCGATGTTTTTTGATCCTTCCCGGAAATAACAGGTGAACAGATATCTCTTTAGTTGTCACTTACCTGTTCAGCCGCTATAGCCCCCAGGAATCACTCTTTCCGTTTGTACCATCATTAATAGTTCCTATTACAACAGACGACTCTTTGTGTCTGCCCGTAATAATTGTAAACGTGTCCTCAAATATGCTAAGTCTTTGTTTGCTGTTGGAACGAGGCACCCCAAAACCTCTAACAAGTTTGCTTCTCGAGACTATTGGCGGTGGCGTAATTTTCTGATAAAGCAGGTTGTTTTGATCGTAAATTATCTTCCATTTCCATTCTTGCCTCATCTGAAGTTCCATCTAATCTCTATTGTATGATATACATATAACTCCGTACATGTTTTCTACAGAGAATCTGGACTTGATTGTATTCCTGCCTTTGCCCTTATGCACTAGGCATGATGAAATTGATGTTATCCCTGCAATAGACTTGAAGAAATGTTATGATTTGCACACCAATTATTCAGCAATAATCAGCAAGCACACCCGTGCATATACACATATAAGCGCACGTGCGCATGCACATACACAAGCAAGACAACAAAGCCACTAAGACACATCGGGATACAGATCGTAAAAGTGTATGTGAACAAAAAAAAAGAACATGTACAATAGAGACCAATGAAAGTTCAGGAATTAAGAAGAAACAAGATAATAATGATCATTGCATTTAATTTAATATCAATGAAAGACAAGCTAGTTTCCTAAAGACCATTCATTATTTAATGGAGTATCCAACAACTCGTATTACTGCTGTCAGGTTTGAAAATGTACAGAGATTAACAACAAATTAATCCAACTCAATCCAAATCCTAAAAGCAATTCTCCTACAGATCACTTAATAAAGTTTCAAAATTTTCTATGAATCTTTTTTTTATTGATTTAGATCTGATGATTTACAAAGACGCTGTGAAATCAACGTTTCCCTCACATTGAACATTTCTTTCGTTTTCAAATCAGTATTTTTCGCATCGGTAACTTATTGAAAAATAATTTATCGCTCGTTTGAAAAACGCGTGTTCTTCCGTAATAATTTAAGCATCGCCTTCACCAATTCCTTCTTTCTTTTACTGCAAATAAATGAACGAAACATCATTTTACTTTCCATAACGTTTTTTAAAGTGGAATTCTTTTGTATGAAATACATTACATGTAATATGCTTTTTCTCGAAACTTCTCAACAAACGATTTCAGCAAATAAATAAATAAATAAAAATCTGGAGATAACTTAAGAATATACGAGTACATAAGCGGGTAAAAATATATATCTACTTAAATACGGGTATGCCCTAAAAATAACGCGCGAAAAATGAAAATGAGTCGGATTCAAAATAAAATCATATCTTTGGTTATGTTTTGGATACGAAGCAGATATTCGAGCAAATATGAACGAGAAAATGTCCATTGAGACAAATAGAAAATTATTTAACCTTGATGCTCTCCGTAACCGAGGGGTCAATGCACGATGGATAAGATGGTGGTTACTACTGCAAAAGGCGACGCAATTTCATACCCTGCCAGAGGTTACATCATTTTCATAATGTTTGCAAGCTTTTATTTTTCAATAGAAAATCTATCCTTTTCAATGAACCTAGTTTAGTTTTGTCTTTTATCACTTTAAAGAAACATTACTCAGTAAAAAAACCCATGTCGACTTTAAGAAAAAAAATAGGCCAAATTAATCTACAGATTTTGAATTATTATACATACTTCTGGAATTATTTTCTAATGGAATAAATCAAGTCGCGTTTTCTGATGAACATTATAGAATAGGACATTACGTCTAGCACAAGTTTTTCTAAGATGCTGTATTTTTGCGAATGTATAATAAACTTTATTTGCCTCAGCATCTCTTTTTAACATCCATCCATTTGTGTTTAAATTATTAATGAATGATTTTGCTATCTTTTTTTTTATGGGGCAAACAGCGAAATTCAATACGCTACTTTTACACATCTCGATAACCAGATTTATCTAATCAGGGAATTTACTTTCATTGTTTTAATGTCTGGTTACGACACCCTTGACTGAATAATGAACATGTTAACTTTGATAGACTTTATTACCCTATATAATCTGTATGATCTGTGCCAAAATCGAACTTGAACTATATCTTATCACTTATATCTTACATGGCCAATATCTCGAATTCATTCCACATTTTAATTTCCGGTTTTTTATCTTAATAAGGGTCGACATTTCTTTCATAGCTAGTATTTATGAATCTTGTTCACCGTATAATTTTTTAATGTTTCATATGTTTCACACTCCATACCACTTTCAATCGCTAGGAAGTTGTAATGAACAAGAGCAGCATACAAGCCGTAGTGTTCTGAAATTTTATGGCAAGAACAATTTGACATTTAGCAAAGTAATTAAAATCATGCAACTTGCATAACATTCAAAATGCAGTATTATACTAAGAGAATAATTACTTCTTAAACTTACACCAACATCTTATAAAGACATCTGTTAGAACTAATATGTCATATTCTATAATTTTCATCAGAAAAAGCGATTTGATTATTTCAATTAGAAAATAGTTCCAGAAGTATGTATAATAACTCATAATCTGTAGATGAACATAGGCTATTTTTTCGTAAGTCAAGATTAGCTTTTTACTGTATAATTCTTCTTTAAAGTGATAAAAGACACAATGTGACTAATCAAAGTCTGATTCATGAGAATATAAACTCTGACCCTCTGGAATACGCAGTCGTTACCAAATTGTCACTATCAAATTTGTTGATTGTAATATTTGGCACGAAAATGAGTGAGAGAAGGATGACAAAGATAAATCGTAAAATATATATTATATAAAGCATTCAGTGTCATAAGAAATCGATTTAGAATAAATCGAAGTTGTAGCTAATTATATATATTATGATGGACAGTGAGCTATAAACACATACACATATATATATATATATATATATATATATATATATATATATATATATATACATACAAATGTATAAATGTTTCAACAAATAAATTGTAATGTGTGTGTGTGTGTGTGTGTGTGTGTGTGTGTGTGTGTGTGTGTGTGTGTGTGTGTGTGTGTGTGTGCATACAGGTAATAGCCGAAGAGAAACATAACTACAAAATGGTGCACTGGTATCTCGGAATTATTTTTATCGTTCTGTGGAAGTATTTTCTAATCAGGGACACGTGATTTAGACGATCGTCTGGCCGAACCATTCCGCGTCTGTGAATTTCACATGACAAAGATGGCCGACAGATATTCTTCTTTGATGTTCTATTTTCGCTTTGATTACAAAGAAATGAAGAAATGGCGGCATTGCCTTCTCTCTGTGGTTTCTTTGGGTTGAGTCGTCAAAGAATTCGATGACGGCATTCGGGAAGATATATGATACAGATGTGGGGAGGTATATTTTGAATAGGTTCCCCCAAGCAATGGCCATCATTAAGGGATACGACTAGTATTATTAATGATAATAAAATAATGCTACTAATAACAATCACAGAAAATGAAAGAGATATTAACATAAAAGAGCAAGGGTTATGATAAAAAAGGAAATATAGAAAATGTATCGAATATAGTGTATTAGAGATTGGAAATATGAGTTAACGGGTATGTGCACAGGCAACTTTAACAGCATCCCTGCTATATCAAAGTTTTTTGTTTTTTTTCGGAAAGGGATGACGTCATTTCATATACTGTGCAGATATGTGTCAAAGAGCATAATAAATAGGGTTTTCTAGACTGTGCGTTTGACAGTTTTATAAGCCCTATTGTAACTTCAGAACCATACTAAAGCAACGGGCATTCACTCCATTTTCTTAACGAAGACGTTATTGCAATTCCCGAATAAAAGAAATCTGTAGAGAGCTTTGATCTCCTGTTAACGTGGCATGAAAATGTTCGTGAATCCTATTATGATGACAGTAAAAATGAGTAATGAGAAATTACTGATGTAAGCAGTGGGGGAATAATTCTAATGTTTGGTAGTAAAAATATATGTATTGAATTAGAGGATATATAAGACTCAAAAATACTCAACATAAATAATGCTTATATACACTGCGTGCCAAATTATTATTGAGATAACTTTTTTATAATATTTCAAAAACCATCCAACCAATTCACACAAAATTTTCACACAATGTTGGCAACAGTGACCTGTGATTTTTCGTACTGATCTGCGCAATGTAAACAAACTGGTGCCATATTTGTTATCAGCACGGTGATTTGAGGGTGCCAAATTATTATAAAGGTTTAGTAAAATTTCCAGAATTGAGCAAACAATACGTTTATTAATGTTGCACATGAATGTTTATGATCAAAAGAAGCTAATAAATAAGATAATCAAACAAATAATAACAGATACAAACAAAGGCACAGTTTTAAACAAATTAATAGAGAATGTGCTTTCTCTCTTTTGAAATTACTTGAAGTCAACGATCCATAGAATTTGTTAATTGTAGGATGTCATCTACTGTAATGCCGCGAGATATATCAAGAATTGCTTCCCACAACTCAGCGTTGCTCCTGAATTGTCGTCCGTTGGCGTACAGTCTTTGCTTCATGATGCTCCAAAGGTTTTTGATTGGGTTCAAATCTGGAGAATTTGCTGGGCACTTCATTTTACGAGGTCCATCGAAGACTAACTGTTTCAAATATTCAGTAGTCTTGTTAGCAGCGTGTGAGGGAGCATTATCTTGCATAAAATCAATGGCCCTTCTGAAGGCAACTCTTTGCCTTTTCATCCACGGCTCAAGATGCTCCTTCATAAACGCTATGTATGCATCAGCAGTCATTTTGACGCCATCTGGTACTCTCCATGGGCTCATTAATGTTTTTCTAATAATACCACTCCAGATCATTATGCCTCCACCGCCTTGTTGGCGTCTCAAACTCTGATGGCGATTCTGTCTGTTCATTACCGAGCCTTTGCACCATCTATCTGGTCCATCAAGTGTTGCTTGAGTTTCGTCTGTAAACTAAACTTTAGAGAAGTCAATCTTCATATTGTCCTCGGCCCATTTCAATCTATTTTGTATGTGATTTTCCGTCAACGGAGGCTTCGATACAAATTTGACTGTTGTTGCTATTCCCCACAGATACAGACACCGAGTACTTTTAGACACAGTAGGATCCCCAATGCGACTGAAAAGCTCTTGACCGGTAAGTCCAGGGTTCATCGTGGCCTCTCGTTTAAGTCGTGACATGAGACGACGTGAAATAACCTTCAGCTTGCCTTTATCTGCCCTTTTGCGTAATTTGTAGGGTAGGCGGTGAACCTTTTCACCGTTTGATGACACCTCCCTATCATTTTAGAAATTTCTAGGGAAGATTTACTTTTTGAGAGTTCTGGAGTCATAGTTTTCTTTTCAGCATCACTTAAAATCCTTTGACGGCCCATCTTTTCATTAAATTCTTACAATTTTCTAATAATTTGGCACGGTCAAATCACCGTGCTAATAACAAATATGACGTCAGTTTGTTTACATTCCGCAGATCAGTACGAAAATGTCAGGAATTCCGCAGGTTAGTCTTGCCAACATTGTGTGAAAATTTTGTGTGAATTCATTGGACGGTTTTTGAAGTATTAGAAAAAAAAAGTTATCTCGATAATGATTTGGCACGAAGTATACGAACATTATATATCTATGTTACAAATCTGTCTATATTTCTGAGCTGAAGTATTATGTACTCCATTTACATTATTCGGACTATTATCCTCATTTTTGTCGCGATATTTACTACAACGTTTCGGCCGTTGTACGCCCCGGCCTTCTTCAGGTGTTTGGAATGTCAATCTGGACACTTTATTTCGTGCAATGGTTAGACTGGTCTAGTTCATCGTGACATGTTTAATGGATGTCAGTTGTCAGTTATCTCCTGTTAATTCCCCTCTCCAAGTTCTCCACTGCTTTAAACGGGTATTGAACTCACACACTTTGGGTCCTGTCACTGGATCTAACCGACGTTTTTATCCACTCTGTCATGCGTCCTTGAGGACATCTATGTATGAATTTGTAGTTATTATAAACGTATTGTCTCAGCCATTTTTTTTTACCAGTGCTTATATTGAAATTTTTAGGCACAGTGGATAAAACATTCAAGACACAATGGCCACAAATGCAAATGAATGACAAATGAAACTCAGTCTACATATCTACAACGCATCATCTACCGTATAAATGTAAATGGGAGGATCCCGCCGGCAACATTTGTACAATTAGTTGGCTACATTCTGCACATATATGGTGTTTTTATCAAGACAGTAAATGTTAACAAATATGTATATTCTTTTTAAAATGATGTTAACTTTGTACAAAGGAAAGATCACACTTTATGGGAACATGTGGGAACCACAACGGCTAACTGTAAATTTGTAAAGTTAAAATTGTAGTGATCAGTTAAGCATCCTCATAGGAGCCGGTAAAACAAAGCAGAGGTTCCTAGGAAGCTTCTCGAGTTGAACTTACATCTACGCAATGGAAAATGAAAAGTATGAACGTGTTTGTCTACAATCTGCGTGGCATAGCGAGTTTAAGCCGTGAAGGATAAAAATTGTGTAACGAAGGAATGTAGTTGTTTTGAAATATTTCCCTGGGAATAGCGATAGAGCAACAAGTTACTTGACAATTTCCTATGTTGGAATGTGTGAATTTTAAGAATATATATATATATATATATATATATATATATATATATACTGTGTATATTTAGCTTTATACATGAAACAGTTGAATCCTAACCTGAACAAAATAAACTACGAATTCTGCGCAAATATCGTTAAATGCCTATAATTTGTAATAGAAGCCATTGGTTTATAACAACGGCTTCCAATACTTAATACTTCTCGTTTTTCGCTCTCGTGTGGTCATGTGTGACGTCGCCAGCTGCGACGCGTTTTTCGCTTCCACGTCTCCTATATACGAGTTTGTCGATACTTGGATATTTCATGCAACAAGGGCGGACTATCATTGTTGTTTCGTCTGTTGTTGTTTGATTTATTGAAATTGTCATCTTTGATAATGGTTTGTGTAAGCCGAAAGTTTAGATTGGATTTAAACATGTATCAATATGGTGTTTTCCTTTCGTCTTTCAACGAGAATGTGATTAAGCTTATCAGACAATATAAAAGGAACTAACATATAATAAATAGACAAAACTTGTCTATATGATTTAATGAAACATGCATTAATATATATATATATATATATATATATATATATATATATATATATGAAGTGGATGTTAGTACCTTGCGGTGACAGTCTGTTTGAAGCTTAAATAAAATTTACAGTCCATGAAGTAACTTTTTAGCATGACATTGACTGACGCCACAGGGTGTTGATCTCAATGTCCACTTTTATATTTACATGCGGTCTATCCTGGACCATATGATTTTTTACCCATAAATATAGCATACTGTATATATATATATATATATATATATATATATATATATATATATATATATATATTGAACAATAAAAATATATTAAAAACTAAAATCTTCAGACACACATTTTTATCTTCTTAACATGAATCTTTTAACATTACTTGTGTTGGTCAAGCAGTCTCTTTTAAGTTGTTATTTGAGATAATACCTGGATGGATCTATGCTTCTCTGAATTCCCTTGGTCAGTTTGACAGTTTTATTGATCCTGGAGAGGGGATGTGTCTATGTTTAGTGTTTGTGTGTGTGTTATTTGGTTTTTAAGGAATGAGTGAGTATGATATGTGTAAGCGTGTGTATTGCTGTGGGTGTGTGTTATCATTTGGCTCATTCGGGTGTCAGTGAGTATGATGTGTGTAAGTGTGTATATTCGTGTGGGCGTGTGAGGCCTCAACACCTCCGTAAGCATGTCTGTCTTGTCTGGCTGAGAAATGTGGGTAGGTTTTGATTTGTTGAGTTATATATCAGTATTATCTATATTGTTAAATTTATGGTTTAGCCCGTCTGGATATTGTGTTTTTAGGCGTTGTATCGACTTATTTTCATGAAACTCTAAAATCTTTCGAATGTTATCTGCTCTGAACTTTTCTAGTCTCTCAATTATACTGAATTTAACATGGGTTTTGAAATCGTGTTTTTTCTAGGCGGAAATGTTATTCTACAGGTAATAATTTTTCATGGGGAGTCGACTTAATTCGATTGCGATAATTATTAATTCTGTAGTGAAAGGGCCATTCAGATTTTCCTACAATTGTTTCTGGCATAGTGTGCATTCTAGAAGGTAAATGACATCTACAGTTAGAATCGTCGTAGATTTTGAAAGGAGATTTAGTGATTGAGCTAGTGAATGAATTCGTGTGTTTAATATGGTTGCAACATAAACTTCTTTTGTTGTTACATGGTTGGGAAAATCCTGCTGTTTTTGTTCTTAGTTTATTACGGATTATCTTGTACCCTGAAATGTGGTTACTACCTATGATTTCTTTTAT